ACCTCGGTTCTTAAATAAATGCAACACTTTGACTTTTACACTATTCACATGTTCTACGTTTTATTTATTAATGTAATAATATTATTTTATGAAAAAAATATTGTTAAACTTGTCTCATTGTAAATTTGCATAATCTAATTTTTTTAATTTTTTTACTAATACAAAATCATTTGTATTAATGGTCAAAGTTTTGTCTCGGCAAGTGTGAAATGTTGACCGTTGCGTTTATTTAAGAACGGAGGAAGTATTTGAAGTCAATGTATCCAGATTTTCATTTTTTTTAAAAGTTTTACACTTTAAGCTGTTTAAATGGTGGTTTTGTTTACATTTGTTCAGAAAGTAAGATTGTGATCACTAAAGCTTACCATTGTTTCAGATTATATTCAATGAAGCATAGTTTCAGATTTTGTTCTATGCAACATAGATTCAGATTATGCTCCCAGTTCACCAATTTTGTTTTGAAATCCATTCCCTGTTTAAATTTATTCACTTTAACCTATACATTCCTTCTTGAGCATGGTCCATTAGAAACTAAAAAGTGTTTTTTAAATTATGTATCTATCTCTCAGTATGTATCTATACCTGTATTGATATGTATGGTTCACTTTGTTTTTGAATATTATAGTTTGCCAGATTTTTATATAATTTAATGGTATTGAATTTATACGATTTGTATATCGTTCAGTTTGACAAACTGGTTGACAAACTGGTTTGACTTCATTCCTTGCACTATTCAGTTTGACAAACTGGTTTGCAATGTTTTGTGTAAGGTTGCATTTTTCGGTGACATATCAAGGGAAGATGCTAGTCACATGCTTTTACTTCAGTCTTCATTCAGTCACATGCTTTTACTTCAGTCTTCATTCATTACAGGATCGCAATTCACCAAACGGATTAGTACATTTACCTTCACATTGTGCTCTAATCTTTCTGCAAATCAGCTTTTCAAATGTTGTTAGGCTTTGTTTGCAAGTGCTTGGGTTTAAAGGAACCCCCGTAGTTTAGTCAGCCATTACTAAGCAAACGGGCCGAACCAGAAATCTCTCTTCATGCCATCACAAGAGTTAACCATGCCCAATCCATGCATGTTGTGGTCATAAACAAATGTTCCATAAAGGCCCTCATCGATACAGGTAGTACACACAATTTCACTGACGTGAATACAGCAAACCGCTTGGGCTTAGGCATTCAATATTGCCCAAGGCTTTGGGCGGTTGTGGCTAATGGTGAAAAAGTGGAAGGAATGGGGGTGTGTAAAGATGTGCTGGTTGCCTGGTTTGCAAAGAGGGACAACTCTTCCCTGTTTCCTTCTATGTGCTTCCACTAAATGGCCTCGAATTGGTACTTGGAATAAAGTGGCTACAAACACTTGGGGTTGTGTTATGGGATTTCTGTTCCCGCACAATGAGCTTCACTTTAAATGGGAATTCAGTAACATGGACAGGGGAGAATGTTCAAAAACATTATTCTAATCACGGTGCCCAAATGAAGAAAAATTTCTCCATTGACAAGATCCCAAATCCCGTGTGCGCGCCAACTTCACCTGTTCAGGCAGTAGGCCTTCGACAAAGACTTTTCACTTCCCTTGCACAACTATGGTTTGCTAAACTACAAAGCTGTGCACCCCAAGCTGTGGAGTCAGATTCATGATGTGTTCATATCCTGTCGTCAAGCTTTAGGGCAAGCTTGACTTTCTGGGAGGAGTGTATTGATACATTTACTATTATTATTATAATTATTACTATTATTATTATTATAATAATAATTACTATTATTATTATTATTATTATTATTATTATTATTATTATTATTATTATTATTATTATTATTATTATTATTATTATTATTATTATTATTATTATTATTATTATTATTATTATTATTATTATTATTATTATTATTATTATTATTATTATTATTATTATTATTATTATTATTATTATTATTATTATTATTATTATTATTATTATTATTATTATTATTATTATTATTATTATTATTATTATTATTATTATTATTATTATTATTATTATTATTATTATTATTATTATTATTATTATTATTATTATTATTATTATTATTATTATTATTATTATTATTATTATTATTATTATTATTATTATTATTATTATTATTATTATTATTATTATTGCTGCTGCTGCTGCTGCTGCTGCTGCTGCTGCTGTAATTAGTGTTGGTTAATATGGTAGTGGGTAGTTACTCCTCATGTAACTAGCAGGGCACTAGGCATTTAGTTGGCAGTTGTTGTTTATGGGAAGTTATAATCTGTAACCAACCTTCCTCTATTCAAGAAAAGGTTTATTTTCTATCAGAAAAAGTTTGTCAATAGTTAGAATCAGGGAGTTGGATATTTCTCAACAAAAATTCTCATCTTCTTCTTCCACCCCTCCACACGATATTCACACTACACGACTGCAGGCTGCATATATATATATATATATATATATATATATATATATATATATATATATATATATATTTATATAGGGGTGAGATCACATACAAACTAGTCTTCCCATGCTAACCTACAAACTGTCACAAACTTTGCATCTTTACATTATTTGTACTGCATATTGAAGTTCAAAGTGTTACATATTATTTGTACTGCATATTAAAGTTTAAAGTGCTACATATTATTTGTAATGCATATTGAAATTCACAGTGTGCATCTTTACATTATTTGTACTTCATATTGAAGTTCAAAGTGTTGCATATTTTTGAGTTTGTAGGTTAGTATTTTAAGCATGATTTGTATTTGATCTCTTACATATATATATATATATAGGGGTGGGATCAACTACAAACTGTCACAAACTGTGCATCTTTACATTATTTGTACTGCATATTGAAGTTCAAAGTGCTGCATATTATTTGTACTGCATATTAAAGTTCAAAGTGCTGCATATTATTTGTACTGCATATTGAAATTCACAGTGTGCATCTTTACATTATTTGTACTGCATATTAAAGTTCAAAGTGTTGTATATTATTGAGTTTGTAGATTAGTATTTTAAGCATGGTTTGTATTTGATCTCTTATATATATATATATATATACACACACACACACACACACACACACACACATACATACATACATACATACATACATACATACATACATACATACATACATACATACATACATACATACATACATACATACATACATACATACATATATATATGCCAGCAAGCAACACCGTCAATCAGATCTCCGAGCAACCTTCTTTCTCCTATTTCGATCCCGTGACGCGATCCCAAACCCGGGCACATACCATACCTGCTGACCGAGAAGTTCCATACTTAGTGATGGCTTTATGAACCAAATTGAGTGTTTTCTACTAGCATTAGCAAAAACAATTAAATCCTCAGTGTAATAGAGATGGGAAATAGGGGGAGCACCAGTATGAGAGCTATAGCCCGAGATCCTTCTATTGTCAAATATAGCATTTCAGTAATAAAAAATAACTTGAGTAGCCATAATAAAAAGGATAGGTGAGACCCCTCTGGAAGGTTTGGAAAAACCTTTTGGAGTGCCATTGATTATAATAGAGCAGCATGTTGCTCTAAGATTATTCAGAATCAGGTTGCTAAAAGCCGGGTGAAAGCCAAATCTGGTTAGGACATGCTGAATAAAAGCCTAGGACATTCTCTTGAAGGCCTTCTGGCCTTGACCATATCAAATTTGAAAAAGATATTATGGCCTATAACCTTTTTATCAGTACTGCCTATGAGTTCCCTAAGAATTAGAATGTTGTCTGAAATCACTTTACCAGGTTTAAAAACAGATTGTTCAGGAAAGATGATTTTAGGTTGCAGACTACTAATTCTCATGGTCAGAATTTTTGTAAGAACTTTGTTAATAAAATTAAGGGAAAACTATCAAATAAACCCCCGTACTATACCGAAAAAGTCGATTAGGCCCTCATACTTTACAAACATTCAATTAAGTCCTCGAACTATTAAAAAATATTCAATTAAGCCCTTTTGGTCAGTAAGCAACCGGTTTCCCGGTTAAACGGCGATGACGGCGACGATGTGCTCGAACCCCAGCAACGGCGGCTGCCGGGAAACGGGTTACATTTAACCGGGAAACCTGTTACTTACCGACCAAAAGGGCTTAATTGAACGTTTTTTAATAGTTCGAGGACTTAATTGAGGGTTTGTAAAGTATGAGGGCCTAATCGACTTTTTCGGCATAGTACGGGGGCTTATTTGATAGTTTTCCCTAAAATTAATGAGGCTGATGGCCTTAACTTGAAAGCTTGTAAGCATTAGATTTCTTAGGTATGCGAATAATCGGAGTGTGACCTATGGATTTAGGAATAGCAACCCCACACATAAACTCCCTAACAGCATTATACAAATCATCTTTAATGAAAAAAAAAGTACCATCAAAACCATCTCTTCCTTAGGCAGTCTTTACTGAGAGAGAATTCCGAAACCGGGGTAATTTCTAACACAAGAAGCAAAAACACGGGAGTTGTAATTAGGGTACAAAAAACGGGATTCAGAAACCCAATTTCCGAGTGAATTAGGGTGAGAGAAAAAGAGTTGGTGGGTCAATTTGGAATGCCATTTTCCGAATGGAAAAGAAAAAATTGGAGGTATTCGGAATGGTAGTTTCCAAATGAAAAAAAATAAAATTGTATATGGTGGGGTCAATTGCGAGTGGTATTCCAAATCCAAATGAATAAAAATAAAATTAAAAAACCCATACCCATACCCAACTATTCGGATAGCAAAATTCCAAATGAAAAAAATAAAAACCACCCACCCAACCCATTTAGATATCAAAATTCCAAATGCAATTAATAAAAATCCATACCCCATTCACACTCTTATTCGGACACTACATTTCCAAATGCCAAAAGGATACGTGTTCCCACCCCTTCCACACTGTCCATCTACGCTAACACTCCATCCGCCTATTAAAATCCTTATTTCGTTCTTAATTCTTCACCACAAGACACAATAGTTTCTTCTCACTTCATATATACTTTATACGGAGTATTTCTTAATCTATTGTATTTAGAAATGGCTAGTGCGGATACTGCCGTTCTCGTTCATTGGAATGGCTCTATGATCACAAAAGATAATGAAATAGAGTATTCCACACATCCTAAGGTAGTATTGTTCATTAGCAAAGGAGATGTTTTTAACACTTTGTACGAAGGTGTTCTAAAACACATTAGAGAAGACGGTTTTTCTGAAATAAAATCTATTTATGGAAAAATGCCAAAATTTCAGAATTCGGTCTACGTTGCTTCTAGAGCGTGGCCCATTCACGATGACCGGTCATGGATTTGTTTTTCCCGAGTCGCTTTTCAAGAGTACCAAGAATTGCAAATTTTCGTGGATGCTATAAACAACTCTATGCCCCCCTCCCCCCCCCCCCCCTCCCCCCACAAAATTTGAGCTTCGATGAAGTTGTTACAAATACTACCTCTACGTTTTGCGATATTGGGAAGGGTCAATCATCAACATATGGCCGAAGAAGCAACACATCAACTTTTGTGGACTTCCAATCCCCCGGTATGCATTTTACATGTTTAATAAAGTTTCAAATTTAGTGATTTAATATATTCATACGTTTATTATTAATACTGTTATTTGAATAATTTAGTATCAAAATAGAGAAAAGAACAAAGTGAAAATTATGTGTATATACAAAAGAATGTGAAATTGGTAGTTTAGATTATCCGAAAAATATTATGATATTATATGTGGTGAAATTCCCATTAATTCTAATTTTTGAATAAATTAGTCTAGTGTCATATTTAGGGTATTCCTATTAACTAATCTTAATAAAATAAAACTTTCATTAATAGTAATTTACGGGTAAACTCCCATTAAGACTAATAAAGTAAATGTGTTTTATAGGTTTATATTTATTAAATTTTTTACTTTCAATTTTTTAATTTTTATTATTTTAGTTCAGATTTTATTAAATGTTTTTAACTTTTTAAATTATATTTATTAATTTTTTATTACTCTATTACGAATTTTATTATTTTTTACCATTTGACTATGAATTAAAACATTTTAATATGAATTAATACTCTTACGGTATTATAGGTAGAAAATTAATGTTTAGTCCAATTTGTGAATTATTTGGAGTTTAGTCCTACTTGTGCAATTAAGTTTTAATTTAATCCTATTTAGGGTAATATCTAAGGAGAGTGCGTATGCCCATTTGTGAGGAGTAATTTCGATAGACATTACTTTAGTAGTAATGAAGATGGAAATTAGTAGTGTAGATGGATGAAAATAATATTGTCGTATTATATTCATTAATAACTCATTGAATAACTTTGTGTAATATTAAATAATCCATGACTATTATATATATATGATTAGTTTTTTTTTAATATTTTATATGATTAAATTTATAAATTCAAACTTTTCTTGTTTTTAATACGATAGTTTAATAATGATTATACAATAAAAGTAAAGTAAAAAAAATATTAAGGTAGAATGATTTTAACAAAATTTAAAATATATTAGGTCTCTAGACATTGTGTAAGTGGTACCATGTACTTTGAAAGGGTGTTATGTTTCAAATTAACTCGGGTTTCACCCAATTTGCTGGTTTGAGTAAATCTATTTTTATGTGTAAATCTACTTTTTTATGTATGATTTCCAATTTTTGAAATTTGTATACATGATGTATATCTACTTTCTGCAGTCACAAACTTGTCTGAAGATTCGGACGATCCCGACTTTGAACTACATAGTAATGATGCCGAATCATCCTCTGGAGATGATAGGAATGAGGTAGTAGATATGACATGGGCCACTCTGCAGATACACGAACCGTATGTTGATGCTGACGAACCGTATGTCGAGATTGTAAATCGTGCTTCTAAAACGATTGCAGTCGGCGATAAATTCAAATCCTATGACGAATTAAAAGAAGTTGTGGCCCGAGCAAACATTCGTCAAAAGTCATTTTTCCAGTCGGTTGACAAACGTCCAAGGTCATGGAAGGCTGTGTGTCTCTATCCGGCGGAGAAATGCTCGTGGCATATCCAAGCAGGAGCAGACGAAAACTTACTCGTGTGGAAGGTAAAAAAATACCAACCCGTCCACACCTGTAGGCCTGATTACACCTTAGCTCGGGATGATAAGAACTTAACAAGCAAGCTCATCGCAACTGAGATAGGTCCTAAAGTGGAGGCAGATCCGGACTACAAAATCAAACTCATAATTCTAGACATTTATGAGAAATTCCAAATCTATGTTTCATACAAAAAGGCTTGGTATGGGCGGTTGATTGCTTTAGAGCGCAGATTCGGTAATTGGGAGACATCATATAATCAATTCCCTAAATTGTTTCAAGCAATAACATATGCCAATCCGGGGAGTCTTGTTCAGATTCAATCACAACTGACTGAAACTAATGAGACATGAATTTTTTCGTGCATTCTGGTCATTTAAAGCTTCTATTGTCGGTTTCTGTCACTGTCTCCCTATAGTCTCTGTTGACGGAACACACCTGTACGGCAAATACAAGGGTGTTCTCCTAGTTGCAGTGGCCATGAACGCTAATCGTGAGATATTCCCTCTCACATATGCTGTTGTGGAGAGTGAGAATGCCAATAGTTGGTCCTGGTTCTTGCAAAGCGTTATGGAAGGTGTGGTCGGACTTGATCGTCCAGTTTGTATAATCTCCGACCGACATGCAGGAATCGAAAGTGCATTTCGTAATGTTCCTGAATTGCTATCGTCTCAAGTGTCAAAGTGTTATTGCCTCCGTCACATTCGGAGCAATTTTATGACGAAATTCAGAAACACAGAATTGAAAAAGTTGTGCTGGCAAGCCGGTAGCACTCCTATTCGCAGCGAATTCCATGACTACGTACATGCAGCAAATAAGGGGCATCAATGCAAGTGCCTTTGCATATTTAAATGAAATTGATGTCGAAAGGTGGGCACTTAGCTATGATGATGGACGGAGATACAGCATACTAACGACAAATCTTTCGGAAAGTTTTAATCATGTGTTGAAGGGATGTCGTACTTTGCCAATCACTGCACTCATAAAAGCAACATTCGATAAAGTGGTTCAACTCTTTGCGGATCGACGCAACACTGGACTTATGTGGCACCAAGCAGGGTATTTGTATCCGCAGAACATATGGAAAGAGCTTGTAGAGCGTTCGCAGCAAAGGCACTCTTGTACATGAACATGATTATGAAGAAGATGAGGAAGAGGATGATGGAGATGAAGGCGGGGAGTCACCTGATCATTCCTGGCCGGGGTTATAATAGGGAAGAGTAGATATAGTTTTCTTAAATTTATTATTCTATGTAGTATGTACACTTTTAGTATCTCAGTAGCCCGGGTTTCTTGTAGCCCGGGTTTTATGTAGTCGGGTTTTTGGTAGCCCTGGTTCGATCCGGGTTCGGGTTGGGTCAGTTAAAGCCCGAACTTGGAATATTTCATTGGTCTTTTATATTTTAACACCTAATTTCAAACAAAATTAATAAAAAATACAAAAAAAACAAAGATTAGTTTCCAAAATCACCAACAATTAAAATCCAAATAAGTTAATTATCTTAATATTTTACTTAAGATGCATGTAAATAAATAACATAGGTTTCTTAAAAATATTACGAATTGAACAAATTTGTATTCACTAAAAGTTGCTAAATCATTTGTTATGCACCGTGATTGTAATCATATATTTGGAAATATTTATAAATTTATATTCATGTTTTATATTAATTGTATATTAAAGCTAACTGTTTCGGGTTTTTATTGGTCGGGTCGGATTATAGATTTTAAGGCCCGTCAATGAGTCCGGAATTTCGGGTTCCTTCCTGGTTTTTTAATTCAGGCCGGTTAAAAAGAAAAAACCCAATGCGGAATCATAATTCGGGTCGGTCCAGGGTCATTTTTCGGGTTTCGGTTCCATTTCCCCCAATTAAACTACTTAGTCGTACATATCAAATTTAATTTCTATATGTAAAAAAAATTCAAATAGTTGTCCATTTGGAAGTGCAACATCCGAATGATGCATTAAAAAATTAAAGAAATTCTATTTGGAACACCTAAAAAATAAATTAATTAATTCGGAATTATGCTTTCCTAATGCATGGTAAACCTAGAAGCCAAAATCTATTAGGAACTTCATCTTCCAATTTTCATTTTCTTAGAAACCCTACAATTTTTCACTACATGTTGAGTTTTCCCGTGTTTTGGGAAAACACCCCTTTACTGAGGCTAAAGACAACCTCTATGACCTCCTGTTCGGTGGCAAAATTCAGCAAAGCTCTGTTGTCATCCTCGGTGATCACTGGACTCAGAAAGGAACGGTAAGCAGTGTCGTCTAAAGCACTAGTGTTTCCATCGTCATTGAAAAGATCAGAGAAGTAATCTACAACAGCATCGCTAATATCAGTAAAGTTCTCAAGTCAATCATTATCGTCAAGTTGGATCCTATCAATTTGGAGCTTACGGTGTTTGGCTTTAAGAGTGAGATGGAAAAACCATATGTATACACAAACACACACACATATACAAGCAAAAAATGCAATCAAACAAAAATGAAGCACCTTTAGGCTCTGTTTGCAATCTATTAAAAAAAGTGCTTTTAACTTTTTTTTTTAAGAAAAAATCACTTATTTTACCAAACACTGCCAACTTTTACTTTCTTGGCTTCCGTGAAGAATCTACTTTTTACTTTTTCTATTACACAAAAAGCACTTTTTTTTTTGAACAGTACACAAAAAGCACTTATTTTACCAAACACTATCAACTTTTATTACTAATCACTTTTTCCCCAAAAGTGCTTTTATTTAAGCACAAGTGGTTGCAAACAAAGCCTTATTAAAGTGCGATTGCAACACTTATCTGTTGAACGTGGTTGCAAAGCTGCACTTAGGGAGTGTTTGCAGTTGATTAAAAAAAAGTGTTTTTCAACTTTTGGCTTAAAAAAAGTTAAAAAGAGTGTTTTCAAATGACAGCTTCTGCTTAAATTAATCACTTAAGAGCTAAAAGCTGGAAGCAGGTGGAAGAGTGCTTTAAACTGCTTTTCACTTTTTCTATTACACAAAAAGTACTTCTTTTACCGAACATTACTAACTTTTACTTTTTCAGAATCACTTTTTCTCAAACACTACCAACTTTTACTATTAATCACTTTTCACAAAATCACTTTAAAAAATCACTTCTTTAAAGTTAAAGCAATTGCAAACACTCCCTTAATAACATACCGCCTATCCCGCTCTCTTCAAAACTTTTCTTAATAAATAGGTAAGGTGTTTTCTGGCCCCTACGGCCCTACTCTGAGAAACTTTCGAGTTTCTTAGTCTAATGCCGGGTAAAAAAAACATACCGCCTTCACATTTTTCTTGGAGAAGTTTTTACATTGACCCAAAATATACAGATATATAAATAAGTTTTGTGGCTCGGTGGAGGGAGCCTATGTTTGTTGGGTTGTTGACACTTGCCAGATTTTACTTTTCTGATTAATTGCAGATTTTATTTGATTGTTGGATGTTGGGATATATATTGCGCGCATTTTAATCATGAAAATTGGAAATGCTTTTACTGAACCAACCAACTTTAAATTTTCATGAACTTTGTCTATGTTTGTTTGTACATTGCCATCATTATTTCTTTTTTATTTCAGGCTGTAACATAGCGATGGCAGAGGAGTCGAGGAGGGATAACATCATTCAAGTATTTGGGAGGCTTCTGCTAAAATATCTTAAACCACTCTACCTGTTGATTTCTCAGGATTCTGTCTTGAACAACCAACATCTCAGTCAAACAAGCTTGCTAAAGGTGATTCTTCATCTTGGATCCCTAGCCGAACGCATTATAATGTTCTATGTCTCATGTTTGTTACCCTTCTATATGCCGAGCCAGTCTGGTTACCTGCCACAGTTTGAAATGAGGGACGTAGACCTACCTATGGATATCATCATTGAAATACTCTCAAGGTTACCAGTGAAATCTTTAATGCGTTTCAAATGTATTTCAAAATCCTTCTGCTCTTTGATTTGTAATGATCCTTACTTAAAAATGAATCACCTTAATCATGCATACCGGAGAATGGCGACTCTTTGGTTTGACTTTAAAACCAAAACTTTGTACTCATGCTCCATATCCAATTTACTCCCCAATGAAAGCTTTCGCCAGGATGTTGTTAAACTTGATGTTCCAGATAAGCTTGAAGGATTGTGTGACATTTACAGATCATGTAACGGCTTGTTCTGTGTGAGAAATATTGGTGGAAGTGTCTTCTTATGGAACCCTCTGACTCAAGAATTGAAAAAGCTTCCAGATTGTCCTACTGATGTTGACGTGTCGACAGAGCCAGTATTTTTCAAAACAGTCGCATATGGATTAGCTTATGACCCAGTCTCTGATGACTACACGGTCTTGAAAATGGTTTGTTTTAATGACATTCAAAATAATTTTGGATCTGAGCTTTACTTATGTTCAGTTAAAACCTCCTGGAGAAGAATTGAGGGCTTCCCGTGCGTGGATTTCGATTGGTCTGCTCTGAACTTTTTTAATGGCGCATTTCATTGGATTGCAAGAAAAGTGTCGGGTCGTGGCCCTCGTGTGCTGGTTTCACTTAATTTAACCACTGAAAAGTACAGCGTTTTTGCATTGCCACAACAGTCTACACATTGGAGGTCACCTAGCTTGGCCGTGTTGAATGGAAATCTTGCTTTGGGATTCTTTTGTCATGGAAACTACACTGTGTTGGTGATGGAAGAATATGGCAACATTGAATCTCTAGCAAAAATAGTTTCTATTCGTAGTGATAAGGTGAATTGTGATAGTAGTTGCAACCCCTTGTATCTCTTTGGGGATGGCAGGATCATGTTTCTGAGAAGCTTTATGACACGTAAGCGAGTAGACATTTACATGGATGGGGAACTAGTTTCCGTAGATGCTGATGCTAGTTGGAATAAAATGTTTGATATTGGGTATCATACCTACACAGACACTCTCGTTTCAGCAGACATTGGTTAGAGCTCTATCATTGTAATTGAATCAATGTGTCACATTTTACCATGTGGTTAGATTTTGCTAATTCTTGTTTATGCTTCATTCAGGCTTGGAGAGCTGATCAAGATTATCATATTGGCAGTTCAGCAATGGAGGGTAAGCGTCACAAACACTTGCCGGCTTCGGTATTACTACATCCGTCCCACTAACATTGGAACATGATGAGGTGGTGCGGCTATTAATAAAAGTAGGTTTGTGTGAGACAATCTTTGTGGGATGGACCAAACAGAAAAGATGAGACGATCTTAGCGGGACGGAGGGAGTAATGGTTATCTGTTTCTTTCTAATACTGTGATGATGGTTATTGCTATGTACTTTTGTCTACTGTTCATTATTGGTCGTCACTCATTTCTTTTTGCTCTTGTTATATTTGTACCTAATTAAGTTGCACATGAATAAAATGCAAAATCAGCCGCAGACTCTCATTGCTCCTGTTTTTCTTAGTAAAAAAAGTCATGGTTGAGACCTACATAGTTGAAGGCATCTATGAAACCTGGTTAAGAAAATGTAGGTTTATTGTGTTGCTGCCTAATTTTTTATTTTTATTTATTTGGGTGATCATAGAAGAGGGATTTCGTGGCAATCATTTTCATCTTTCCTTGACTGTTGATTCAGCAGCATGTGTAGCCATTGAGTCAAGTGTATTATTTCTAAATTCTTGGAGGTCACCATGTTTGTGATAGTGATAAGGGTCATCGTGTTTCTGATTGTGATTTTTTTAATCCCTATAAATGAAGTTGATAGCAAAACTGTGTGATTAGAGATAATTCAAAGTGGAAAGAAAAAAACATGCATGATAAAAACTTTTGTTTTTTTACTTGGCAATTTATGTTTTCATACTTCCTATGAAAATCATCCGGAACTTGGATTCTGGTCATATCTTTTCAGCACCTATAACAACTCCTCTTCCCATATCCAGGTTAATGAAAATGATGGAAGATGACGATATATGATTCCACAAAATTGGAAAATGATTGACAGGGGTGAATGTTAGAAGAAAATAGAAAATGTGACACATTGGAGGGGAGAAGCAAGGCTAAAGGGTTAATTTGAACTTTTTCCATATCCTGCCTCTCGATGTTTTTACCCCAGATGAGAGTAGAAAAGGAAAAAGAGATTTAATTAAAACCCAATCACCATGCCAAAAAAGTGTAATTTGATCATAAGCAAGCAGATGAAAGTATGATATATACCTTGGATTTTTATAATTTTTTCATACTTTTCAGTAGGGGTGGACTCGGGCCGGTTCGGGCCCGGCCGGGCCTTGGTTCATGAAAGGGGAGGCCCGGAACCGGCCCGGGTAATCCCCGGGTCCGGGCTGGGCCAGGCCTCGGTTCAATTTATTTTTTTTGGCTTTTCCTAATTAATCCCCAACCCTCCCCCTCACCCCCAAACAGCCCCAAACCACCTCAAATGGCCCAAAATACCTAGCCCAACCCAAAAACTTAAAAAAAAATTCTAAAAAAAAGAAAAAATAAATAAATTGGCCCGAACCGGGCCCGAACCGGCCGGGCCGGTTCACCTTTTGAGGGGCCCGAGCCCGGCCCAGAACCCCAGCGGGTCGGGCCTACCCGGACCGGTCCCCGGCCGGGCCGGCGGTTCGGGCCGGTTCAAACAGTGACCGTGCCGGGCCGCCCGGCCCGAGTCCACCCCTACTTTTCAGATTTTCTCAGACAATTAGTCAATTAGCATGGTACCTGATAATTGTAACAGGAGTTGATATTACAAAATATACACAGTAGCATTTGTTGTACATAAACTCTTAACCGTATACTTGGAGTCGTTATGTTTTGAATGGTTCTTGAATCTTGATCAGTTAACTATGTTAAACATCATGTTTGTTTAACCTCTTTTACAATATTTAAAAAGAAAGATCTTTTGATCGACTAAAACATAAAATCAGGCAGTTATGTTTTTTGTTTTTGTTTTTTGCAAGAAGGAAACTTATCATTAAGCAAATCGTTGGCCAAAACCGATACAATGAAAGGAGGATAATATATACAAGAACACAAATCAAACAAAGAACAAGCAACTCGTGCTATAGCATGAGCTATCTTGTTCGCTGATCGCAACACATGACAAATTGAAATGCTGATTTTTTTTGCCAAATCTTTGATGTCGTTACTGACCAAACCAATCGAAGAACAACTAGACCCATGTAGAATCTCTGTGATAGCACGGAATGAGTCAGTCTCTCCCTCAATATGTGTCCATCCTCTCTCTTTAACCCAGCTAAGCGCTTCCCGAATCCCAATCATTTCTGCTCCTAAAGGCGATAATTTTCCAGGCCAAGAACGGGTTGCTGTTGCCACAAAGTTGCCTCTATCGTCCCGCAAGCACCAACCTAAACCGCAGCCATTCACCCGGACTGCTGCGTCGATATTAAGCTTCAACATTCCTTAGAGCTGGCTTCCTTCACTTCATGCACTTCTGCAAATTCTGCTGGGGCTTGCTGCTACGTGATGCTTGGGCATTGTTCCAAACGTCCACCAGGGCCTATGCCCGTAAAATGAGCTGCCTAGCAGATGATGACTTGCCTTGCCACACATGGGAATTCCTCTCGCACCAGAGAGCCCAACACCCCGAAATTAGCATTTCTAACAATTCCTATCTCCTAGACCGAAATTCCATGTTAATCTGCTCCAGAAAGGGAAGGTCCTCTCCACCAGTCCACATCCAGGATATTATTCTCCAAGCTTCATGAGGTACTGCACACTGCCGAAAGAGGTGGACTAATGATTCTGAATTATCGCCACACGATCTCGGACAGTCGACCTAAGGAGCCTGCAAATTGTCCCTCGAGGGGAGACTCCCAGTGCAAACCTGCCAAAAAACATTTTGATTTTAGGTGGAAGTCTCAAATTCCACATAGCAGTCCACTCCGAATTTTCCGAGCCTCCCAGTTCACCCACCAACCTTCTATAACAGCTCTTGACCGAAAAAAGGCCACTCTCCCATCTCCAACACAAAGCATATGGAATTTGACTCTTACTAAGTGACACACCCCGACATTATTAAGGATGCATCTCTAGCCCCAAAAATATCATTAATAATATCATGATCCCACGCCCTTTGATCATTAGCAAATAGATTAGCCACCACGGCCTCTTGTAAACCCTCTTTAACCTCCGACATCACCTTCGGATTTGCTTCAAGTGTGATAGACAAAGGAAAGGCGTTCTTTGCGGCGGATCCCAGAAGTTGGTTAGAAGTTGCAAACTAAGTGGTCGGCTATACAATGGCCGTGAATTGTGTTCTCATCAACCGCTGCGCCATTATGTCAGTCAAGAGTTGTCGCTTAAATGTGAGTCTTTTATTTCCTCATAAGTTGTGAATTGATTAAGAGATCTCATTTTAGAGGAATCTACCTATAAATCTATCACATCTTCAGATTTATTCCAAACTTAGTTGATCACAAAGCAATCACTAATCCATGAGTTTAGTGATATCTCAATTACCAGTTTTTGAGTGAGTTTTTTTTTTTGCTGTTTAGTGATATCCTATGTTGCACCGATACTTCACCTCGATGCCGTATCCGCGCAGGGGCGGATCTATACTTGTTCCAAAGTGTTCATGTGAACACTCAAAAATTTTAACTAGTAGTGTAAAAATACATGTATATGAGTGTTAGTATTGAAATTTATATATGTATATGAACACTCAAAATTTATAAAATAAATTTGAACCGTCAAAATTAATGTCGAAGATCCGCCACTGTATCCGCGTATCCGATACGTATCCGTATCCGATACTCACCAATACGCGTCCTGTACGTATTGGGTCCGTATCCGTAATTTAATAAAAGTATCGGGCTTAATTTTAAAAACACTGATACTTCCGATACCCGTATCCGTGAACCGATACGCGTATCTGACCCTATAACCCCTCATTTGATACACGACATGACGAAAATTTAGTAGCCGCCCAAGTGACCACAACATGTGGAACATTGATAAAGATGGTTTCGGGAGTATGGAAAATAATGAAATACTATAATTTGTCATTTCATTGCTTGATGAGCTTTAGTTGAAACAAGACATAGATGTAAATGCAAATAGAGAACAAAAAATGTTATTTGAATTTAAATCAAAATATTAGTACTTTTGTTTTTTACTCCCTACGTAACATATATATGTTCCCATTTGAAAAGTAGGTAGATTAAGAATAGTGAAAGATGATATAAATTATTGAGGGTATGATGGGAAGATAGTGAAATAATCTGATGGAATGAAGGATAAATACAAAAAAAGTAGGTGTAATAGTGTATTATTATTAAAATTATTGAGGGTATGATGGGAAGATTTAGAAATGGGAAGATATGAATGTTACATCCAAAAAAGGAAAGTGGGAAGATATGAATGTTACGGAGGGAGTAGTTTTTTTAGACTAAGCTTTGAAATTTTATTGTAAAAGTTATTTTTTTGTACTATTATTATTTTATTTATGAACCCCTGAATTATATATATTTGCAAATTATACCCTATATTTTTATTATTTATAAATATACCCTCGTACCCGTATCCTATAATTTTTGAAATTGCCGTATCGCCGTACCCGTATTCGCGTATCCGCGTATCGTCATATCCGTATCCGTGCAACATTCAGAAAAAACATTCACGCCTTCCTATTCGGAATAAATATGACAAAATGCAATTATAAGCTCAATGAAGAAAGTTTCATGCACGTGATACTTGACCAGATCAGAAACTTCCAATAATAATGATAACATCGCAATAAATAAATGTTTGAGATATTTACACTGATCGGTATTTTTGAAAGGGAGATATTTACACTGATACTCTAATACATTGTAAATGTCTCACACTCACATATTTCCATATGTGAGACATTTACAATACATTGTAAATGTCTCACACTCACATATTTCCATATGTGAGACATTTACAATGTATTATGTGAGACATTTAGAATGTATTAATGTATCGGTGTATGTATAAGCATAATACTACTCTACAAGATTTTGACGTCCAAGATCCACATTAACGGTAAAAACCGCTATGCAATAGGTTAATAGTAACTGTATTCCATAATTATCGAATTATGCAAAGCATCGTGTCATGTACGTATATCATATACTACGCATACCCAGTGGCGGAACCAGGACCTGTGACTCGCAGGGGCACAATGGCAAAGAAATCATATACAACGTTCAATAAATCAACAAATCCACAATTATAAATTTACAATATAATTAATATTTTTAATGAGATTATCATAATATAATTGCCAAAAAATGCATCAACAAATCAAAATTACCATCTAGTACTCTAGTTGGTCAATCTTAAGTTACAAGTTACAAACGAAGCATAAACCATTCACCAAACATCATTCAATCATTCTTCAAAAATAAAAATATTAAATATACCCAAAAGATAGGAAGACCGTGGTCACTGGTCAGTCGTCGTCGGCCGTCGCTGAGATGCTCACAGTTGCCGTCGGCCGTCGTTGAGGTGCTCGCAGTCACCGTCGGCCTTCGCTGAGTTGCTCGGAGTTGCTGGCTTGCTGTTGCTGCAGACTGATGTGAGTTTGGAAAGCTGTAGGGGTGAGAAAAACCGGACCGAAACCCGGAAACTGACCCTGGACCGACCCGAATTATGATCCCGGTCCGGGTTTTTTCTTTTTAACCGGCCCGAATTAAAAAAACGGACCGAACCGAAAATTCCGGGCTCACTAGTGGGCCTTAAAATCTATAACCCGACCCGGACCGAAAAAAACCCGAAACAATTAGTTTTAATATAAAATTAATATAGTATATGAATATAAATAAAATATTTCCTAATATATGATTATAATCACGATGGATAAAAAAGATTTAGTAACTTTTAGTGACTACAAATATGTTGAATTTGTTTAGCGTAATGATGACCATTAGAATATATTTATAGCAACTCTAGTAACTTTTTGATTCATAAAATTTATTTCGTAATATTTTTAAGAAACCTATATTATTTATATATATACATCTTACATAAAATATTAAGATAATTATCTTCTTTAAATTTGAATTGTTGGTGATTTTGGAGACTAATATTTGTGTTATTATTTGCGGTTTGTATTTTTGATTAATTTTATTTGAAAATAAGTGTTAAAATATAAAAGAACAATGACATATTTCACGTCTGGGCTTTAACCGGTCCAACCCGAACCCGGACCGAACCCGGGCTATCAAAAACCCGACTCAGACTGAATAAAATGGGCTTTGTTCCGGTCCCTAATTTTCATAACCCGAGACCTTGCGGGTAATTTCCGGGTTTAGCAAAAACCCGACCCAGACCGGACCGATCCCACCCCTAGAAAGCTAGGCTTGAGTTGAGCTGTTGAGCCTTAATGGATTGGGCTGCTGGGCAAGAGGCAATTGGGATTGGGATGCAGGGCTCCAATTAATAGAAATTAATATATGTATATATATTTAAAGAAGATAATTCACTGCAGGGGCATGGGCACCTCTAGGCTCTATGGTAGTTCCGCCCCTGCGCATACCAAGTTTTTCATACTAATACTCCGTAATAAATATAAATTTTGGGTCAGTACTACCATCCTATCAAAATTAAAAACCATAGAGTCAGAATCTATTTAGTAATCAGAACCACACCGGGTAAACTACAATTGTGGGTATGTGCAATGGCGGACCCAGGAAATTCATGTTGGGGGGTTCAAAATAATTTTTGAGGGTGAAAATTATTTTTTGAGGGGGCGAAAATTTATTTATATATATATATATACACTAAAAATAAATTTTGTTGGAGGGGCGGTAAACCTCTGGGTCTGTACTACGGTCCGCCTCTGGGTATGTGTATGCATATATTTGGATTCAAATATATATTTTTTTGTATTTTTTTTGTATTTTTTTTCCTCCTAAATATTTTCAATGACGGAGGTAGACTAAAATTACAAAAAAAAAATAAAATAATAATAAACAAAATATGATTTGTATGGAGATCTTCCATAATTTTACGTGCATACTAATTAAATTTCTAATTATTATAACTCTATCCGTTCGATACAATTCGAGATTCTCCAATAGTTTTACAAGTTCTTCTTTAATTTTAGAAGCCTAATATATCATTCAATTTTAGAAGGCAATATATCATTCAATTTTGCATCATCATTTTTAATTATCACGTAATTATTCAAAAAAATATTATTTAAATTAAAATAAAAATAATAATGAAAAGTGTAATGATAATGAAAAAAGAATATTATTCTTTACAATATCATTATTTAAAAATTGTAATAAAAATATCACTCTTAAAATAATTTTTGAAAAAACAGTAACCAGTTAATAAAAGAATTTTGGCTAAAGGTAGGCCCCTGTACGTGTTCGTATTGCTCAATTCACTCCCTAAACTAAAAAAACTCCAATTGACACCCTAACTGGATATAAAAAATTTCAATTTTGACAATTTGTAGGTAACCATCCAGTCAGCGCGACGTCATCAGGTCATGTGCCAATTGTGCACCTGAGGTGGCAACTCAAGGGGTCAAATAAGCCCCTAAACCCAACCAAATTGTTTAATTCACCCCCTCAACCATTAAAAAGTGTCAAAATTCTGAAAAATAAAAATAAAAAATAGTAAAAATTATGAATATAAAATACGACTAAAAAATGTTTATATATTGCGGTAAATTCATAGAAGAAAATAAAGTATAAAGTTAAAGAAATTCTTTAACTCTATTATATATTTTATATAAGAGAATAAACAATATATTTCCACCAATTAACTATATTTAAGAATGTATTTTATGTAATACACCTAAGATTTGTTTTTTTGGTTTTTGGTTTGATGATTAATATTATGTTTATGTTTTCCATTTTATTTATTCATTTTGTATATTTAATTTATTTACAAAATATATTAAAATATATTAGTTGGTATAATTAGATATTAAAATTATTTTATTTAGATGCAATTTTTTTTTTCGAAGTATACTAATTTGAGTAGCTATTTTATATATATTTATATAAGTAAAAATGACATATAGAAGATTAAATTCTATACTTTTTACAAATTATTTAGACCATAAAACTTTATACAGTACTATATCAGAAGTAAAGTATAAAATTATTAATCACATACTTTAATCATTTATTTAATATATATATAGATATTTAATTATAGTAGTTTTTTTACATATTAAATATATTACATAGGAATCACGTGTACATTATGTTGTATAAAGTAAGGTAATACATATATGTGTGTATGTGTTTGCACATATGACTTTCACATTTTTTATATAAAATATAAATAAAATATTTAGAAATAAAGGTAAAGAAATTATTTTAGTTTATTATATTTTATTTTTAATTTGCAATAAATGTAAAATACAAATATTTCATTTTTATACTCCGTATTTAATATTTTCGAACAACATATTATTTATTTGTAATTTTTTTTTTTCTATTTTTCATAATTTTGACACTTTTTAACGGTTGAGGTGGTGATTTGAATAATTCGGTTGGGTTCAGGGGCTTATGACCTGATGATGTGGCGCTGACCGGATGGTTACCTCCAAATTGTTAAACCGGAGTTATTTAAACCGGGAACATCACATTTAATATAGTTACCACGTTGCAACATCACATTATTTACGGTTTAACCGGAATTACCTGGTAACCCGTCTTGGCCCGGGAGGCCGGGACTGACCGTGCCGGCCCAACTTGGGAAACCCGTAATGGCCCGTATGTTTAGGAAGAAGTTATCATCAAAATAAAACCGGACGACCGTGGATCTTTCTTGGGGAATAAGTTCGTACTTCCTACTAGTACTATATATATACACGTATCTTCAATTTAAAGAGCGTAGAGAATTGAAGCAGACCCCTGTATATATATATATTCCAGAAGTGAATACAACACCAGCGATTATATATATTCAATTCTTGGCAGCCATGGGAGCCGGAGAGAGCATTCCGGGGCCGCGCCGATCGGACATTTACAGTGCGAGAGGGGCTGTAGAAGTGGCGCTGAAGAGGGTAGATCTGAACTCTCTAAATGGGTTTGGCTTCAGCAAAGATAAGAGGATGGAGCTTGCGATGGAGCTGACATGGATGAAAACCTTCCTCATCACCAGCGAAAAAACGGGCCACGGCCGGAAGGTTGCCGACGTCTGGTGTCCGGCCATCGAACTCCTCGCCGGAAACTGTGATGATAGCTTTCTGAAAACCACCCAACGCTTAGATGCTGCGTGCAAAAAACTTGCCAGCCTTAGACAAAAAATACAGCCTTTTGTTGTTCCCACCTGTCCGTGTGATCATCCTCTTCCTCCTCCCCCAAAGCCTGTTATTGTTAAAAGCTGTCACTGTCACTGTGATCATCCTTCCCGCTCAAAGCGCTAATCGTAGTCCCCTGTTTTTTGATTTTACACAGGCGTTTAATCAGGGACGATTCTCATCCCCTGTTTCTAGATTTTACATAGGCGTTTAATTAGGGCCAATCGATTCTATATGTAAGTTCATTTAATTGGTAATTTGGATTTGATGTTCTTGCTTTATTCACAAGATCAGATATAAATATAATAAAATACCTTCCTTCTTAAATACTTCCTAAATTTTAGGCTATTCACATGTTCTACTTTGATTACGTTTTATTTATTAAAGTACGTATTAATAGCTTTTTTTGAAAATAATATTGTTAAAATTTTCAAAATCTGTTTTTTTTTCTAATTTTTGTACTAATTTTCTGAAATTAGGGTTTTATTACGATGGAAGATTATTTTGGAATATTTTTAATTGGAATAAATTTTGTTGGTCTGATCTGATTTGTTTAAATCTTATTTGTCTAGACTAATAAATTTCTAATTTTTTTGTGTACTTTATAACTATAAAAATTTGATTTGATTTGTTTAAACGTGATTTAGTTTTCTCTTATCGGGAACTAAAGTTTGCTCTTATGTGGAACTAAAAACATCGGCGCTGTTTATCTGATTAAAATACAGTCGGATTTTTATGTATTATAGAGTATGCAATAGAAAACGCATCCACGTTATTTGACGGTTTTATCGAGGCTGTTTAGTCACTTTTACAAACCACGTCACATAATTTAATTAATTTAGTGAATTGCATTATGGCAGTGTTTTCTTAATATTAAATCCTGTTATGTAGTCTATATTATTGGATGAGACTAATTTGTTGGTAGTCATATTAGGGGTGTCTTCTTTTCGATTATTTTCAATCCCAGACCAGATTCAAACAGACCAGATCAGAATAAACCTTCGTTGTTACAAAATATACAGAGACCAGACGTTTACCAGATCAGACCAGACCAGATCAAATCAGACCAGACTCGCAAATTTCAATCCAAAAGAAAACATCCAAACATAAAATTGATTTGTATCAATTGTAATTAGATACTGCGGGTGTTTTGACAAATATTATGTGCAATTTTTTTAATTACGTTTGGTAACCATGATTTTTGGTTTTTCAGCCTTATCACCCAACTTTTTCACCAAACATGTAACTTTTGGGTACACACGTTGAATTATGTAATAATAAGAAAATGTAAGGTTATAGTTACTTTTCTGGCTGTATTGGTTGAAGTTACTGTAGATGATCATTTTAGCTATATTTTCATATAATATTCTTTATTTCATTAATAAAATATATCCCCCCACAAATTAGCAGAATCAGCCAAACTGCTACTTCAACCGAAACTTCATAAATTTCAGCAGAATCACCCGATACAACCGATTTGAGTGTTATCAAACAGACCCATAATAAGATCAGAATTCAGACAAGGTACATCAAGACAAAAAGTCAGATTCCGATCACAGCCCTTCGAACCAAACTTAGGGTTAATCACGCTGATGTTATAACGAGTATAATTGAGCCAACTGTAATTGAAAAGGGACTCCTCGTCACCAACTTTCATCCTCAAAGTTCTCATAGAATCAAAAAATATAACAAAGTAGAAATAACTGAAATTAATACCCATGACTCGCCTCCTCTCCGTTTTGTGGATCATTCGGCACCACTCCTCCCGCTTGATCTTCTCCCATCTGTTCTACCCATGCGTCACTGCCTACCTCATCGAGAACCAACATTCTTCATTCTCCGATATCAGCTTATCATCTTGCTTCTCCAAATTTGCCATTGTAAACTTCTCCAAATTTTATCCCATGTAGCTTACGGCTATACCAATAGGAGAAATTTCAACCTTCCAACCGTGAGAATCAAAATAATCTGCCCCAAAGGTCACATGGAAGACCCCGACGCATAGTTCACTTATGCCTCCTGCCCAATTTGTTGAACCCCCGTCTAAGCATACTACAACCCACCCCAACCCTAGACTAGTGCGAGCCGCAAATTATACCGTGGTACGGGTATACCATACACATGGTATACCGGCACCACATACGTCACCGTTTTTCCTTCTTTGGAGTCTGGAGCACTACGTTTCTTTCCTTTCTTTTCCTTCAAGACTCAAGCCCTCCATATTTTTTGGAGCACTATCTCTTTATTTTTCAATTTTGTTTTCTTCAATTATTTTCTTCTCTCTATCTACATATTAAAAACTAATTATGATTTTTCTTGTATTTATCTTTAACTAATTAAACTAAAAGTGAATTAACTTTTTTCTTTACCAAAAATTACAAAATTTTCCTAATCCACATAAAATAAGCACTACAAATTTATTTTTGGTGTAATATTTTTTACATTTATACACTTTTTTGTAAAATATTTTTCATATTCATACACTTTTTAAAAAAAGTATTTTTTTAAATCTATTTTATACTATCTCCGTCCCAAAAAGAGTTGCAAATTTGACTTTTCTTAGTCAAACAGTCTCATTTGGTTCACTTAATTAGGATGTCAATTTTTAATTATTTTCTAATTTGGAGTTTACAACTTTGAAGAGATTTTAATGTAGTTTTTGAATATGTAAATTTTATTTATTAAAAATTGAATTAATTATCCATAGGGAGGGTTGACTTTTATTATTGGTTCACTACTCCCCAAGTCGGCTAGTCCCCTGCGGCGGCCTGCTCGTTTTCCCAGAAACGCCATTAAGAATTTCGATTTGACGCCATCGCAGTCGATGACAAAGGAGACATCTCAATCGCCGACTCGATCTCGTTCGTAAAACAAATTCCAAGGACAGAAAAAACATTATATGAATCCGCTGAAGAAATGATTCTACAAATGAATATTATGGTCATTAATATTATTTGTAAGAAACCATTTTGAAATGAATGAGAAATTGTCACGCCCCGGACCTACCGGACACGTCAACAACCCGCCGTACAGTACGAATAGTCAACCGCGGTTCAACTCATCCATACTATACTAAGCGTCTTGAATATCATTCACAATAGTACATCCATAAACAAACATAATGTAAAATAATCATTTAAATCAGCGGAAACGTTTAATACAAGTATTTATGCCACACTTCGGCAACATGGGCGTACAAGCCCCAAATAATTAATCAAAATAATATCCATGAGCATTAATTTAATGTTTTAAAAATAGAGGCGGAGGAAGCACGAACCACGTCTTCCCTCCGGAGTCTCCCCGAAGCAACGGGCACCGGTAGCAAGCTTTACTCCCTACCTGAAACTGTGAGGTGGCCTCCCCCGTGAAGGGGAGGTCAGTACTTGGAAGCATTTGACAAGTACAATGACAACTATACTAAGTATAATCAACGTTTTAATTTCCAAGACCCTCAAAATAGGGTGATATCATAATATAAATAATAATTTATAATTCCCACTTATTATCTCTATAATAAGTAAATTTATTTATTTGTCGGCACACGGCCCATTTCATATATTTCATTATACCCGTCGTTAGCACGACACCGCCCGTAGGTCTTATCATCCTTTACGAGACTTGTCACCGCTCTCCGAGGCCTCATCGGGCCCTCGGGCCGGAGTCCAACATCCCGCCCCTGAACTCATACCCATCGTCCCGTAGGAAGGTAAGGTCCATTCGGGGTCCTATCTTATGTGTTACCGCTGTCGGGAGCCTCGTAAGGTCTCCGGTTCGGATTCCACCCTAACCCTTGATCACGATGTAAGTCCATGCTATCTAACCCCGCTCTCTAGAGTCGGGAAGGGCCATGGTCCTTACTAATTACCAATACTCTATCGGCTAATCCTCAAAGACTACCGAATACACCCGTAGGCCAATCCTATTCCTAGGATCAATTTATTATTCACTTTATCTTGGGTATCCCTTAAGGCCTACCCCTAGCATCACTTATCCACCTTAGTATCTCTTAAGACTACTTAAGGCTCAAACAATTTACAATCCAAACCTTGGATCAATTCTAACATATCTCAATTCCAAAACCCCGACTAGTATCATTATACTAGTCGGATAAATTCCAACAAAATCTCATTTCTGTTCATAGTCATATAGACAATTCTCAAACTAATTTTCCATTGAAAATATAGTTCATATCAATATACAAAATATAACCTTTAATCACTCATATATCCTTATATGAAGTTAAAATTATATTTCAACATAATATTCATAGTTAATCCCTTCATCAAGCCAATATGTTCATATTACATAATCATACACAATTTATCCTTAAATTTGTATATTATGCTCCTTTATTCATTGACAACAATATTTTCATTTAGGCATTATTAATCATTAATAATCCATGAGAATAACATTTAATTACTTTAGGTAATCTTACGAAATTAACCCAAAGATTATAAACAACATAGTCAGCCATCCTCACCTTATGAAGTGCTGGGTTAGTTGCCTTTGATAAGCCCTTCGATCGATCCCCGTTCTAACCCGATCAAGAGTGAAAAGTCTGGACAGAAGGCGAAAGCCGGGCGGCTTTCGTGAAAGCCGGGCGACGTTCGTGGTCTGCTACCACGAACAGCTCCTCCTTCTTGGCGGTTTCCGGTGGTTTCAACTCCTATCGATTCCACGACTCTTCTAAGTTAAATACCACCACTTTATAACAATATTTTACACTTTTAAACGTGTAGAACATCATGTTTAATCCACCATATGATTTCTTAAAAATCATACACTAAAAACTAGTTAGAAGATAATACTTGTGTTCTTACCTCAAGAACCAAGTCCTTTGTGTTGAATCTCCTCTCCTATTGCCTTCCTCAAGTTAGAGACTTTGTGAAGAACCTCTCCTAGAGCTTTCCTCCTTGCTTGGTCGTCCAAATAATGTAGAGGATAGGGGGGATGTTTCCTTCTTTCTCAAAGGCCACAAATGAGGCAAATGATAGGACATGGGGGTGTGGTTTTGTCTTGAGCCATCCCCTCTCCTCATAAGTCCGCCCCTCCCCATGTTTACTTGTCTCAAGTCATCATTTTGAGTCCACAAAGCTTGTAGGAAAAAACCCAAATGGGGTATAGGAAGTCCCTCCCAATTATTCCTGCTATTTCGGGCCGGTCGGGTCAAAATAGCACCCGGGTTGTCCAAATATTTTTATCAACTTCGGTTGGCGTTTTATTGGACCCCTATGATTTTTATGATAGCCCAACTAAATATTTGGTAGCCCATTCACATTTAGTGGACCCGATAAATAATTTGATTAATCGCACATTAATTAAAT